TTTTTTTTTTTTTTTTTTTTTTTTTTTTTTTTTTTTTTTTTTTTTTTTTTTTTTTTTTTTTTTGCCTTTCTCACGGCTTGGTCCATTGGGGATGGCTGATGGGTCAAAGGTCGTGGAAGAAGATAACCCTCTTTGTTCTTTGTTCCCTCATTTATACCATCTTTCTGGCAAGAGGTTGCATTTATTCCTCCTATTGATTCAATGGTCATCTTCATTTGTCTCTTTGGATTTTAGTCGTTCTTCGACAGATAGGGAAGTTGTTGATGCAGCGGCCCTGGATAGGTGACTCTTTTGCGAGTCCGAGGAGGAGGGTCTTTTGAGTTTTGTGTTTGGATCCCCGATCCTTCAGGGGTTTCTCTCCTAGCTCCTTCATCCATATACTTTGTATTCCTTCTTCATTCCCAGGTGATTCTACTTTCTCCTCTTTTTAGAAGGTTAAGATTCACAAAAAAGTCAAAATCTTTGCGTGACAAGTTCTTCATGGGATAGTTAATATCCTAGACCATGTTTAGAAGCACTCCTCCTTTGTGATCGGCTCACAAAGATGATCTCTTTGTCATGGAGTGGTAGAGGATTTGGATCATATTGTGGGAAAATGTTAGTTCACCCTTGGCTATTTGGAAGCATTGTTGGGCCTCGTTCAGGATCAACTGGGTTTAGAACAAAGGCAGTGATGCTATGATTGAGGACTCTATAGATCTCCCTTTTCAAGATAAAGGCAGAGTCATATGGCAGGCATGTGCCTTTGCTATATTTTGTAGTTTGTGGCTAGAGAGGAATAGTGGGATTTTTAGGGACATGGAGATGCCTGCAAGTGAGATTTGGGAAATTTTAAGTTAATACCTAGCTGTAGGCATCGGTTTCTCCATTGTTTTGTTAGTTATTAATTAGGATTATTCCATTGAATTGGAATCGTTTCCTTAATTAATTTAGAACTCTTTCAGGGGCAGGTTTCTTATAAAAAGAATAAAAATAAATAACGTATGGTCTCATTCATGCAACCAGCCATAGTTATTTTAAATATAGAATTACAATTCTTGAAATATTCTATGGGAAACAAGAACAGTGGCACATAGACAGAGGGAGAGGGAGAGGGAGATGGGAGGCCAGTGAACCCATCTACAGTATGAATTATAGATATTGTGCACTAAAAGGGAGAGAAAATAAGTCCATCCTTAAACTCTGGCAATGCTCTCGAGAAGAATATTTACGGTAGGAATTTTCATATCAGGTCCACAAACGTATGGAGAAAGAATCTACAACTAACTTACAAGGATCATGCACAAACTGCTTTTGTCCATTGTCATTCCATGAAGAGACGGCCATTATGGTCCTGCCAGTGTTTAAAGGAGTTAAAAAATTTTAAAAATTTGCAATGTTATAGTCAATAGAAAGAACAGAAAATGAGGTTGAATGATGTATTAGACACACTTATCCTTATCAAGTAGCATTGCAGCAGCCTCAAAGTAACTGAAAAAATCCGGAGCAATTTCCATATCATCTGTATAAAAATAAAATTATTTATCCACAAGAGCAACAAAATAGAGATAAAAGGAAGTAGTAAAAGTCAACCTCACCTTCAAGTATAATAACTCGGCTGAACTTATGGATATAGAATAATTGATCCAACGCCCATTTGTAATGACCTGGGACAACCAATTGTTCGAGTGTGAACCATGTTAAAATGTTCCACAACTCAAGAGATTATGGACTGGTATTTCTTTAAGATATCATGAAGCATGGGAATGGGGCTAACGAGTAAGTAAATCTAATTAACCTTCCAAAGCATAAAGACAAAAAGTCCTCACCTTACACGATCATAGAAAACTTTCAAACTTGGTGGCCTTTTGTAATATTACTATAGATATAAGGAAATGGAAAACTTCCATTTTCCATATGTTTAGAGATTCCTTACATTCTATATGATAAAGAAAATGAAAATGAAGCTAGTCATAGAGGCCAAAATTTAGTTCGGTGGTGTTTATGTGGGGGCTAGTCCATGCAATGTAAGCCTCTACAAATTTCGACTGTAAATATTTTAGTACCAATTCATTCCCGTTCAATACATTCAATACATTCAATATGGTAATGAGTATGTAATTAAATTGAAAGTTTGGACAAATCATGAGTGGAGGCTAATTAACTTTTGCATTTTTTAAAAGTTTCAAAGAATACTTTCAAGATTGTTTCTTTTGGTCCCTTTAGTCTAAAAAGAATCTAATAACTTTCAAAATTTTATGCCAAATAAATCTTTGTCCTTAACTCCAAGTCTTAAGCTCAAACCACGAACAGCTAAACTGTAACAACCCAAGCCCCCCGCTAACCGATATTGTCCGCTTTGGCCCATTACATATCGCCATCAGCCTCACAATTTTAAAACGCGCCAGTTAGGGAGAGGTTTCCACACCCTTGTAAGGAATACTTCGTTCCCCTCTCCAACCAATGTGGGATTTCACATAAACCTACCACAAATTAACCCAACATATAATATTTCAATAATGTCAAAATGATATTGTCAATGTAGCACATAAGCACTAAACAGATGAAGTTAACTATCTAGACCAAAGACAAAAAAAATTGATTAAAAAATTTTAAAAATACAAGAACCAAATAGCCACAACCTTAAATGCTCATAAAATTATTAAAAACTTTTTAGAGTACAAAGACTAAATTAACACAACATTTAAAGTTAAGACCACATGTACAACAAAGAAAAAATAACCTTACGTGCAATTTTGTAATATGCAATCAACTCCCCTGGCCTTTCAGTTTCCACTTCTCCATAATCTAAATGCTGCAACAAACAGAAGTCGGAGATGATGAAAGTAAAATGGCCCGTAAAGCAAGATTATCTTGAGCTTGTATGGAGAGCTTATCCATCTAAAATCACGCATCAGACCCAAAAATAGGTTTCCAGGAATTGTACACATAACTCATTTGATTGCCCCTGTGTCCATCATTTTCTTCAAAAAGAATCCTCATGTTTATGCCTAAGAAACATTTGGCATAAGCAATAACCGAAGGGAGCAAGAAAAGATGAGATATTCTACCCCATTGCATGCAAATCTAGATTACAAAGAGATCTCCAATTGGTTCAAGAAAAGAGAATAATTACCAAAGAATTTTAAAAGGAGCTTGAGGCCGCCTATATGCATCACCTATGCTAAGAGGAAGAAAAGGAAGGCTAGCAGGTGAGCGTGTCTTAGTAATTATCATAGGGTTGAAGTGTGTCATCTAATTAGATTGCGGCTTAGGACATCTAAGTTTTTTGCTTACGAGTATCACTAGGCAGGAGTGAGCATAGGAAATTTGGTTAGGTATCAGTATTTAGTTCTTAGTAGTGCAATTGAGGTGGAAAATATTTTTTCGTCCTAGTGAGCTAACACTAGAAGGGAGAGCTCAACCTCTTGGAAGCTCAGATGTCCGGAAACTGCTTCCATAACAGAACTCAATTTTGTTAGAATAGAAGTTTCATAAAAAGGCGTTTGGATAACTATTTCTGAAGTTTTCTTTTTCATCACTGCGAGTGTTCAGGCCAGCTTGTTTTGAGATAATTTTTTCCTAGCTCTTGATTTCAGCTGGTCAACTACCTTATTAGCAATTAAAATGGAATAGTAATTTGTCTACCACGAATATGGACCAACTCGTAAAGCAAAATTTTTGCATTAAGGAGCTTTTCAAAATTTGTCTACCCCTTTTCCTTCTTAACATATATACTCATAATAAATTTACATAATTTAAAAAAAAAAAATCCTTCAGAGTTTGTGGGTAAGAGAGATCGGCTTAAGGAAAGGGGTTTTTGGGAGCATGGTTCTTCGGAGAAAGGAGGTTGTACTACTTTCTTTGTTGTTTCAATCATGCGTTTGTTTATCACAGTTATCAAAAGGCGATTACATAAGAAATACAGGTCTAACAGAAATAGTTTGCCAAAAAAGAAAAAGAAAAAGAAGAATGGTCTAAACAGGTATTCACCAATCTCCAATACCAAGTAAATTAAAATAGTTCCAATTAGCTATAATAAGGAAAAGGGAAAAAATAATGAAACTCCGGAGTGTGGGAAGACCAAACAGCTGCGTCAAAGTGCCCCAACTCCCAAACCTCTTCTATACTCAAAATTCGCCACTATTAATCAAACATTAGAAAAGAGTGTACTACAAGCGCATTTTGACCAACTAATTTGAAGAAATTAGGAAATGGAGATCGAATGTCCTGGGGATTTGCCATCTAAGGAGTGGAGTTCCTTATACGGGGAATCACTAATCCCAACCACACAACAAAATTTCCAAGATAAAAAAGAATGGGGATACAAAACCCTGACTAAACTATCCCATCACATCATCATCCTACACTCAAAAATTGCATAATATATTGACGCAGCATTATCACCTCAAAATATATGTACAAACGCGCACACACAAACGATATCAGTATAGAAAATACATAATGAGTAACCATGGTCAAATCATGGCACTTTATACAGGATTATTGCTTAACTAACCTGCATATAGGCCAGCCGATCAAAGCTAAGAGCCTTTTTTTTTACATCTGGGTTTGAACCATCCTATGAATAAATACAATTTAAAAATATAGATTACAAGTACGAACATAGATTTAAAACACAAAAATACAGTAGTTTCTAAAGCCAGAGAAGAATTTAAGATACATACCTGGGAAACAAAAACAGGATATTTTGAAGCAACAGGTGTTTGATATCTGAATAATATCACGCAGCTGTTAGTAAAGCCAGAGATCTATAATGCATTGACTACAACGAGCAACCAGAATGGTTAAGAGGTCTAATAAGACGTACTTTAGAACAGACTTAATAGTCTTGTCCAGATAATCTGCACGATTGCATGCCATAATTACAACAGCTGCCACAGGCACCTAAATAATTCAAGCAAAATAATTTGTAAATTTAAGGTGAACAGAATTTATAAAGCTTACAATCGGAAGGAAAAAAGGGTTAGAAGCACTTCATTTAAGTATACCTGTGTTTTGTCTGTGAGTTGCTGCAGACCTTTCCCTACAGATTTTAGAAAGAGAAAAACAATCAAAGAGCCTACAAGATAATACTTATGAGCAAATGTCGATTTGATCCTATGAAGGGAATTGTAGAAAAAATAACAACATAGAGTTGTCAGTCTTATTTACAGAACATTGAAGTCGTTTCCTTTTGTTTTCCTCTCTTCAGATAACTATTTCTGAAATTTATGGAACTAAAGGGTGAAATAGAATGCTTTTAGGATGCAGAAGCCAGTGCATCATTCTGCCTTATCAATCAAATAGTACTACGAGCATTCAAATCAAACCACTTGTAATGTTCAATGGAGGGCTCATTTTTTTTATATATTTCCACTTCAGTGATTAAAGACCTAAAATTCAGACATATGACATGAGCCACATCCATAAAAGACATAAATATCGCAGAATGGGTTTTCTGACCTTAACAAAAGAATATGGGTAAAATTCAGGAAGTAAGCTGTTAAGCAGAAAATGAGTCTACTGAAGCGCATACTTTCAAGATCTTGAAGGAGAGTCTTCATCTGGAGGCGTTCTTCAAAGTGGCGTTTCCTTTCATCTGAAGATTAAGCAGTTTTATTAGAAATAAGTGTAATAATTCTGATATTTTGCCTCCAATCTCATAGAGAATATCAATATATTGATTCTTATTAACAAAATAAAAAAAGATACGAGAGGTTAGAGGGCTGAAAATAAGTAAAATAAATAATACTGTCGATTTTCTTTTGAAGGGACATATCATTTCGTAGTCAGGAAGATATTCTAGCAAGACGATAAGAATACAAAGAAAAACACTGCAAGTGAAAATGATAATAAAACAAAAAAAAATAAAAAGAATAGAGTTGGTAATGATGGCATAATAATCACAAACAATCTCAATGTATCGAGGCAATCAAGAGCTCAACAGGTAAGCATGAGAAGGAACAATGATACTGAATGGAGCAGCCACATGTCACTCTTTTTGTACAATATAAATTTGTGAGCTAGAACGGAATCTCGCAGTGAAACACATTCTGAGCATCGATAAAGAGCTGAGAAATATGCTATGCTCTCAATTTTACCATTAACATACTTTGAGCTGCTAAACCTTCTAGATGTATAATCAAGACTAATTATTTGGTTCTTGTTTTTCTGACGAAGACAGTCTCATAGTATGGTGGATTCAACAAGTTGGGCCTGAGATAAATATTCAATCCAAGTATAGATGGGCAAGTTGAAAAGTTTTCTAAACCAGCTACCAGATTTGATTGATATTTTCATCATTTTAGATTGAAAATTTGCAAATTTGCATGCCAAATTCTATTAAGCTTAACGCACTATGACAGACACCGCACCTTCAAAAGCCACTATTTGTCCTTGTTGCATGCTTATCTGATCAATTAGTAATCGCATTTGACCGGTACAATGATTCTCTGATTCAACCTGAAATAAGGAATAGCCCTTATAAACGGATATTGCACTCACAGAAGACAAAATTGATCAAACTTCAGCATAATTCAACTAACTAAGGCATAGAGCCTCAACCAAAATGTATGTGGTTCGATTTTCCAGATCCACACATTGTCGAACCAACATAATGTTTCTTTGATTCTTTAAAATCGTACATTATAATAATGTAACAATTGTTATGTAGTTTATTGTTGTCCACAGCATCCATCCATTCGAAATGTGTTTTCGGTAACACAAAAAAGAAATATTGAGTCCTCAAAAACTAATTCATAGGCTGTCCGTTAAGAAATTTCGACAGAGGAAATCAAGAAAGCTATAATTGATAACACATTGAGGAGACTTCGATTGTAGAATAACATAAACTCTTATCATGTATTGAATACAGTGTTAATCCCACGCAATATTAGAGAAGAATGAACGACGTACTGCCTCAGCTAGCCGATCTGCGTATTGAGATTGTGTCGCGAATAGCCGCATCTAAATAAAACAATAATTCGTCAAAGATAAAAATGCCAGTGGTTTCGTAAATTAACAAGTAGGAAACGAACACTAACTTTACTGATTCAAAACAACACTAGTTCAGCTGAAAACCAAATGAAGTTCGCATAGACAAAAACAAAAAGGCAGCCATAAACAGAAGAATTACGTGAAGGATTTGATTCGTACTAAAGCCAAATTCAAATCTAAGCAAAACGAAAACAAAAGACGATCGTTAATCTCAAATTACGACAAACTCCGTGAGAGTTTGATAGGTACCTGGATGTAGATGAACACCACAGCTGCAATCAGAAGTAGGAAGCGGAAATCGCAGAATAAATTCGCCATTTCTGAACAAAAGATCAAAAACAGAAAAAACGACAAAGCGGATGATAATTATAATCCGAATCGCTGGATTTCTATCAGGAATTGATCGGATTTTCAGTCGCGACGACTGCGAGTCAATTCAGTTCATGAGGCTGAACAAAAAAAATTTTAGAAATTTAGAAATAAATCTAAATGGTTTGATCCGCGCGGCTTACTATTAGCCATTATCTTATTTTGTTTAAGAAAAAACAATAAGATTTGGTAAATTAAAAATAAATAAATTAAAAAAAAAAACCCCAAAATAGACAAAATACATAAATTTTTCCATGTAATCTTAAAATTTTTAATTTAATTTCTAATGCATTAACAAATTATTAATATTATTTAATGCTAAATTAAACACGAGTAAAATAAGGTAAATTTAGATAAATAAAAAAAATACATTACAGAGAAGAAAATTCTAAATTTCTACTAGTATTTAAAAAAAAAATTGTAAGAAAAAATTAATATTTAATTTCTTAAATGACATTTTTGACAGATAATTTTAACTGTTAATAAAGACAAATTTTAAAAATAATTACGTCTTTTTTTTTTCCTATATTTGAAATTTTTTTCTCTTTAAATTTATTATTATTATTATTATTTATTTTTAATAAAAATAATGTATAAAAAATAAATATTAAAATGATATTTTAGTAGTGTATGCGATAACTGATCACCTTCGAACTCCACCAATAATTGTCTTCCCCAACTGATCTTTGTACGGCCAATCACAAACAGCGATAAACTCTTTCGCCGGAATTAATGGGGAACGAAAGGAACGCCGCCGTGTACAATTCGGCTCACAGCCGGAAACCATCTCCACCGGGAGAAAACACGCCGCTCCTCGGCGGCGGACTGCCTCGATCCTCTCAAGCCAAGACGTTCGCCAACGTGTTCATCTCGATTGTCGGCGCCGGTGTTCTCGGCCTTCCTTACGCCTTCAAGCGCACCGGATGGGCTACAAGCCTGATAATGCTTTTCTCCGTCGCCGCCATCACATATTACTGCATGATGCTTCTTGTCTACACTCGTCGGAAGATCGTCGCCGACGGTTCCTCCGAGGTCAATTCATTTGGCGATTTAGGTTTCTCAGTCTGTGGCTCATTTGGCCGAGCGATTGTCGATATTTTGATTATTTTGGCCCAAACTGGCTTCTGCGTAGGGTATTTAGTCTTCATCGGCAATACGTTAGGCAATTTGTTCAATTCATCCACCATGGCTTTGGACTCTGATTTTCTCGGAGCTTCCCCCAAGATCTTGTACATACTAGGCTGTTTACCGTTCCAATTAGGCTTGAATTCGATCAAAACACTGACGCATTTGGCTCCTTTGAGTATTTTTGCAGATGTGGTCGATTTAGGAGCTATGGGAGTGGTGATGGTTGAGGACATTTCTGTTATCTTAAAGAGAAGGCCTCCAGTGGAGGCTTTTGGAGGCTTATCGGTGTTCTTCTACGGCATGGGAGTAGCTGCTTACTCCTTCGAAGGAATCGCAATGATTCTTCCTCTAGAGTCAGAGATGAAAAACAGAGATCAATTTGGGAAGATCTTGGGATTTTCAATGGCGTTTATTGCCGCTCTTTATGGTGGATTTGGTGTTCTGGGATACTTCGCTTTTGGACAAGAAACAAACGATGTGATTACTTCAAACATGGGTCCAGGATTGTTGAGCGCCATTGTTAAACTAGGTCTCTGTATAAACCTATTCTTCACCATGCCATTGATGATGAATCCAGCTTATGAAATCATCGAGAGGCGATTCTCAAGAGGAAGATACTGTTTCTGGTTGAGATGGTTGCTGGTTGTAATGGCAACTTTAATGGCGATTTGGGTTCCTAATTTTACAGATTTCTTGTCATTAGTTGGGAGTGGGCTGTGCTGTTCATTAGGATTTGTGGTGCCTGCATTTTTTCATCTGCTGGTTTTCAAGGATGAGATGGGATGGAAAGGTTGGTGTTTGGATTTGGTGATTGTGGTTTCTGGAATTGTTCTTGGAGTTGCAGGGACTGTAAGTGCTGTGGAACAGATGTATTTTGCAAACTAGACTTCCATTTTAGCTTGGAAATGGAAGTTTCTCTGAGCTTCAAATTTGAAAATGGTGAGTTTCTGTTGCAGAGGAGACATTTATCTTCATTATGCTTCAAGGAGTCTTGGTAATGGAGGTAAGAGTTTGTGGGTAAGATTTTGTTCCTAGTTTGTGGGATTTCTTTCTTTCTATCATGCTGTATCATGATACTGTACATTGTACAATGGATTTGAAGTTATTAAGTTGTTGATTATTATGAATTTAAATAATTTTGTTTTTTTTTTTCCTCTTCCTATCTTGAACAACATATTATATGCTTAGTAAAAATAATAGTCCAGCCTGACTCGAGAAAACCTTTGCATGCCTTTATTACTTTTTGGGAAGCCTATGCTCCTCGAGGGCCAATCTCTGTCTGGTCCAATAAAATCTTTGCATGCCTCCTTTACCTTGTGAGAGGCCTACACTCCATAAAAATTGTCTACCTGAAACTATCTATTGGCTCGTAGGTCTTGCCACAAAGAATTCCCGATCCCTCAAAAGAGGGGCCTTCTTCGCCCTCCACATATTACTTTGTAATATTTTCTTATAACATACCATACGTGTATTCTTATTTATTTAGTTGTCATTTTTCTATTTTATCAAACATAGCATATTTAGTTTCAAATGGTTGGTAAAAGATCTCGAAGTAGAATTAAACGATAATATATTGGTTTGAGAAAATACTTAAAAGAAATAAAATATATATTATTGAAAATGGAAATGTAAAACTAAAAGTACATTAAGAGATTTAAATAAATAAATAAATAATATATATATATATATATATATATATATATATATATATAAGCTCTTCCACAAATAAATTCTACTAATTGGCAAAATTAATGCAAAATAACTCAAAATAATGAAACTATCATACATAGAAGCAAATCCAGCCTCGCTCAAGGCTCGGCGGTGGGATCATAATTCAACAGCAACTCTGCAAAGTATTCAAATTCTCAAGCCAATACTGTAAAGCATTCTCATTTTTTTTTTTTTTTTTTTTTTAAAAAAAAAAAAAAAGAACAA